GTTATTATTTTTTATCATAACAGTATGTTTTGATTTTTTTATAATGTTATAATATGTTAATATTGGAAATTTATTATTGAACCGCTGTAGTATCTCATAATCAACCAGTCATAAATGTCCCGCAAACGCACCAGTTTTTAATCGCTATACCAGTCGTACAAATCGCCTAATAACGCTAGAAACCGCAACCACCCACATCCGCAAACTCCCGCAACCGCAATCGTAACCGCCGCGTTTCAACCAGTCAGACCCTAAGTTTTCGGCGTTTATGTTTCAAACAGTTTCTTCAATTTTGTTTCTAGATAGGTATAACATTAATAATTTAAGATAAATAACCAAAAATCAGGAAGAGAGTATCGATATACGTACACGCGAAAATGGAAGATGGCATACTTGTATACGACGTGTCAAATTGGTGGACGTCATGGCAAACGACTTGGAACACATGGCTCAACCATTCGCTAGGTGCTTCGGCTCGAAGTACCTAATTTTCTACCACTACTTATTAAAACTTTTATTCATTTCCTTCTATTTCCCTTGTTCAAAACATCGATTTCTTTGTATTTCAACAGCTCTTGAAATAGTTTTTCTGCCTAGATTTTACTTACATGTTTTTTTGATATATTGTAAATATCATTCATGGAATGAAGGTTTGATTACAATGAAATTGAAACCAGAATCTGCTAAAAAGCCATTCTGTTTCTAGTGACTGCAAAAAAAGTTTTAAAAAATCCCTAGATAACAAGTAAATTAGTCCTAGTCTAATGAATAACTTGGAACTAATATTTAACAAGAACAAACTGACAACAATAGTTCCCACAAATTATTACTAGCCTGTTGATGATGAGAAGACACTATTCTGTTTTGGTTTACATAGTGGCTGTAAAATTATCAATACACGTTGAGTTACAGTTTAATTTACAATTTAGATTTTTAAATCCCTTTGCAAAAAAATTATTAATCTATATTATATATTAATAAAAAATTGAAAGAAAAGATTCAGCCATATTTGTCTCTTGGGACAAATCATGAACTGTTAAGGTTTTATAGTTTCTTCTTATTAACTTAGGATGTTAATCATGCAGTCTTATGTTTGAGTTGGTGTTAGCGTTAAAGACGATCTGACGTTCTATATAAACTAAGCATTGAATCGGTTGAGTTACCAACTTGCGTAACAAATTTGTAGAGAAAATGTAATCACTCGGGTAATCGATCATTGTGTTAATTATGAATTCGTTGTAAATATAAATCTCATTGTATACTTATTACTACAAATCTGTTCTTAAAATGCATGAGGAAGAAGAACTAGTACTAATGTGATAGGTACCGGGGGAAAGAGAGAACACTTTGTGAGATAGGAAGAGCCCATGACGTAAGTGTGGGGATGAGTGTCACTCTTCCATCGTTGAATGTGCGACACTTGTTTCCTTCTATTCCCCTACTTCTTGGAACTGATAAACTTATAACATGCAACCGGGAACCTTAAAGTTCAGAAATAATTCTATATTTAACCTTTAAAAATATTTATTTAGATATTGAACTCACATAGATTGTTGAATTCACGATGTTTCTTGAATATCTTACATGGAAAATAAGATGAAATCATGACATATAATAGTTTCACAAAAGACATGAAGCTTATAAAACTAGCCAGTACACTATATTAAGCTGTGAATTGTGAATGTACGCTGCTTTAATCGTACAAACAAAATCAGTTTTAACGTGGCCAATCTAAACTAATACTCCCTCAGTTTCGAATTAATTGTTATTCTAAAGAAAAAAAATATTTTAAAATAATTGTTGTTTTAGAATTACGAGACAAAATTTATTAATTTTATATGATATTTTATTTTTTATTAGTTGAAAAGTAATTAGGTGTATAGATAATTGTATTTTTATGTTAAAATATGTAAAATTAAATGTTTTTTTAATCTTTGTGTAAAAATCTAGAATGACAAATTAAAATAAAAGACGTATATCATTTAGGATTTTGAAAGAACCATCCAAAATACTACAATTATTTTTCGATTAGTGGATAAATACTATTAAGTTTTTGTTTGAATTTTCGGGATCAGTTTAATCTAATTAAAAATGAGAAAAGAATTTAGCAACATGTACATGTTTTTTTTCTTGATCCGCTTAGTTGCAGAATCAAGCTATAGCATGTGAATCCCCCTATATCCTAGTGAATCCAGAGGTCTTTCTATGTGTGCTGTTTGGGCTCTAAATGAGTTCATTGCTTTGCTTAGTGTTTATTTGTTTTCGCCCCAGTGATTGTTTTCGGCCCAACGTTTGGAAGTCCATTTTCCTTGTAATGTGTTTGTTGACATCTTATTTATCAGGCGAGGTGGTCACTATATTACTTTACTACACTACAATTTCTTTGAAGTTCAAATAGAAAGTGAAATTGCACTCCATATACTAGAATAAGGGGGAAATTAGAAAAGTATCCGAATAAACTGTTTGCCACTGTTCACACTTCCTTAAAGACATTGATGCCCCTATGGTAATCCTAGCAAATAAAAGATAACGAAAGATTTGGTTAAAGATTTGGTAAAAGATAAGGAAATCTCTTGTTAAAGATTTACAAAGTTATGCGTATCGTTCATATCTTAAGTCAGAGAAGAGATCTAGGTTAAGTCGTGGAGTGGAGTTTTAAGCCTTCTTTCACCAGTGACTTAGCGTCTTGTTCTCCGTTGGAAGTATGTCCATTGCTCAAGGGAGATGGCGATCTGTGTTTGTCGGAGCTTGCGTGGTGGGTGAAACGGTTGTGTATTTGTTTCACCTTTGTGGTTTTGTGTTTGCAATCAAGGTTTGGAGTTCTTAGTTCTGTAATCTATGGTTGTCTTCTTCCTCTTCCCTAGTGTTTGCTTTCTCTTCATTTTAATTCTAAAATTTGATTAATTTTTATTATTTTAAGTTAAGTTGGTTAATCTTATTTCAATCTAATTTCTTTTTCTTGATAGGATGATAACGTGGCAGATGATGATGAGTATGAAGAAAAGCTGAAAACAAAGGATGGGTCTTTCATTTTCTTATCCACATCTTATATTGTTATCTCATAGTTTTTCATTTATTCTATTTGCACTGACCGAAGTTAGACACTAATTTCTGGAGAATATCAAACTTTGAATTTGTGTTGGGATATCTATTCATTGACACATAATCTATAAACAGCAAGACTCATATAACAATTTTTCATACCTCTACATATCTTTGAAATAGCCTTGGAGATTTATTGTGATCTGACTAATATATCTAATAACATATAACAATTTATATGTCCGTCTACAAAATGGATATACACAGATTTACATAGGTTAATTATCCAGTTAACCAGCTAAGTATTTTATTGTCCGGCTACAAACTGGTTATACACAAACTTACATAGGTTAATTATCCAGTTAACCAGCTAAGTATTTTATTGTCCGGCTATAAACTGGTTATACACAGATTTACAAAACCTCTTATACAATATCTTATTAACGGATGAGTGGTTTGGTTTACTGCCACCTACTTATTTACAGTTACATATCAGAGCATACGTTTTTTGATATTCCAAATAATATTCGGTTTTTTTGGTTTACGGTTTAGGATTTATGAGTTAGGATTTGGGTTTTTTGGTTTAGGGTTCAGGGTTTAGTTTTTAGGGTTTAATGTTTATCTTTAGGGTTTAGGGCTTAAGTTTTATTTTTGAGGGTTTAGGGGGAATTGATTAACATAACCATAACCATTAAATCTACAGCAGTTAATAAACAAGAGATTGACGATAACTTAAAGTCTCTCACACGACTTTTCCAACTTAGCATAAAGGAAATCTGAAAAGGAATTTTTTGATTTTTTTCTTCTGTTTCTTTGGACCGAAGATCTGAATTAGAGGGATCTCGAAAAAAATTTCAAGTTATTGGATTTTATAGACTTAAGTATAAAGAAGATGAACCATCTCCATTGCTTACGTTTTTCTAT